TATTTTTTTTTTGCACGCTTCAGCTGCAACTGACGGCGGTCACCTCGGCGAGGAAAACGCTAAATGAATTGCCCCAAATACGTGTTGCCTCTACGCGATCATCACGAAGGTGATGATGACGATAATGATGACGATAATGATGATCGTTATGCTAATGCTGGGCGCTCGCCTGGAAACGCCAGCAGCAGCCCAACCAGATCAACCAGCACTGAGAGAAAAAAGGGCTAAAATAAGAAAAGGGATTTCTTAAATCTTAAATAATTATTAACAAATACTAGTATATATATTTAATTTTTTTTATTTTCGATAAACCTTAAAGATTTCTTTCAGTGTAGCTCTGTTTTGGCTCGAAATGGATCAGTTACTAGAGTGTAAGAAAGAGAGAAGAAGCCAGCGAGAAGAGAGCTTATGGCTGAAGAAAGACAGCGTGGAGAGGGGAAGAAAGAGCCCTAGCCACGGTCACGTTTCTTGTCACGTTCTCCCGCTGTTGTTCATTTCTTCTCTTGCTCTTTCTTTTTCTTTTTTTTAGCTTCTTTTTTTTTAGTTTTTTTTACCTGCTAATTTTTTTAGAGCGGGAATATACACTATTTTTTGTAACCCCAAGCTAATTGATTCTTCAAGTTCGAGAAGATATGGGTTTCTAAGGTCTTTTGGTGCCAGAGTCGTAAAAAGTGTTGGAAAAGCCTCTTTTTTAAGGGCACTTTTAAAGTTACTTCAGTTATTTAATTAGTTTCTTAGTTAGTTAGTGGCTTAGTTTGTTATTTTCTTAGTTCTTTCATCTAGATTTTTAGAGAAATACCAAAATCTACTGTCTTTAAAAGTTTTCTACCTTCTGAATAAAAATACTTTAAATACTAATAAGTAATACTTCAAAAGATCGTTATTTTATAAGAACTGCAGTATCAGTTTAATATAATCGACTAATGCTTCATAACTACTTATGGTAATTATTATAGTTATTACAATCATTAGTTCTATTAAAAATACTGAGTATATTTTATTTCTTAATATTTTCTAGAAAGAAAGTATCAAAAAGGATCCTCACTAAGAATTCTAGTTCAAATTAGTTGGAACTAGTTCACAGGGAACTCTAAAAAATAAACGAGTTCGAATCTTAAATCCTTTTTTTTTGTATTTTATAGATTTTTTAAATATTTAAAAATTGTAGAAAATCCTAAAATGTTTTAAAACAATATAATATCTAATAACAAGCCTTTAAACTTATTTTTCCCATTATTTAAATCCACCTAACTGGGTATTTTCAATTCCAAACCTTTAATCAAAGCTTGTTGTTTATTTTTTCTGCTTTTTTTTATGTGCTTGCCAATTTGCTTTGTGCTTTGTGCTTTTTGTAGTTCTTGTTGCTCTGGTTGCTGATCTTGTCGGAGAAAAGCAACAACAGCAACAATAACAACAACATCAACATCAAAAGCAACAGCAGCAACAAATTGCAACCCGCAAGTCGCAAGTCTGCTTTTATACACTCAGAAAAGCATGCTTTTTTATTAGAATTCTATTTTTTTCAAAACTTTTTTCAAAAATTTATCAAAAATAATAGATTTAAAAGAAGTAGTATTTTTTTTTTTAATATTTCAAGCTTTGTTTTTATATTTTTTTTAGTTTTCTTATTTAATTTCTCAATTTTAAATTGTTTTCTGTGCTTTTTGTTTGCTTTTTGTGCTTTTTTGCTGTTACTGCTTGTTCACGCGACCCATTGGGCGTTTGACCCCAGCGAATGTGGCATGCAAATGGGTTCAAACTTGGACAAGAGCCGCATGCCATTTGCATTCGCATTCCCATTCGAGTTTGAGTTTCTTTAGGAGATGGAGATGGCGATGGAGTTGGAGTTGGAGTTGGAGTTTCCCCCTTGCGGTAAAATCGCGCGCCAAAAAGTCAAAAGTGACAGCCGGCGGAGGAGCAGCTGTCAACTTGACTTTAGGCAGCTGCCGCCGAATGTTGCTGCTGCTGTTGCTGTTGCTGCTGCAGTGGCAATATTGCCGCTGTCATTGCACTTGAACAACACAGCAACATTGCAACAAGTAGCCGCAACACAAAAAAAAAAACGGAAGTTTGTAGCAAGTTTTTTTGTTTTCTGTTTTTTTTTTCGAACCTGATCACTAAATGGTGGACAGGACAGGAAGCATTTCCGATAAAAGAGGGTCTTCTCTGGTCTTTTTTTTCTGGGGGGGTTTTTTATTAATTAAGCCCTCAGGATCATATATCAGGAAAATAATACCCCTGGAGTAATTAAGGGCTTGTCTTACAAGCAATTAAAATATTAAATTACCTACTAGAGTACTTTTTTCAAACTTAAACTTGAAAAGTATTTATTTATTCAACTACTTGAGGAGTTTATGAATTTTTTTATTGTCCAGTTTTCTCTATTCGGCATTTTTTTTATTTATTTTTTTAAAAGCAAGTGAAAACGAAGCACATTTTTTGATGGCCCAAACAATTGAGTGAAAATCTGCATCGATTCGTTGCAGTCACAGTGACTACAAACGGTGACTCAAAACACAGTATTTCTTTAAGATTTTTATACAAAAACAAGAAAGCAAAGCTAACTTCGGGCGGAGCCGAAGTTGATATACCCTTGCAGCTAAAACCGAATATATAGCGCAAACATCGGATATAGTTGGCCGATCCTTATGATTACATCATAATAAAACCAATTAATTACAATAAAAAATCTAAAAAAAAGTCCCAAGCTTCTATCTTCAAAAATACGAAATTTAATATTTCTACCAAATACCATTTCCGATCGTTCAGTTATATGTCAGCTATAAGATATAGTCAACCGATCCTAATGAAACTTTGTAGGTCGGATTAACTGACCAAAAATAGAATGTGTACCAAGTGCCAGCTTTCTATCATCAAAAACACGAAAGTTGGGTCATTTCCGATCGTTCAGTTATATGGCAGCTATAGGATATAGTCGGCCGATCCTTATGAAATTTGGCATGTCATATTATTTTGCCAAAAATAGCTCTCATATCAAATTTGAACTCTCTAACTCTAAAAACACCGAAGTTATACCATTTCCGATCAATCAGTTATATGGCAGCTATAGGATATAGTCGGCCGATCCGGGCCGTTCCGACTTATATACTGCGTGCAAAGGAAAGAAGGGTGTGTGCAAAGTTTCAAGTCGATAGTTTTAAAACTGAGAGACTAGTTCGCGTAGAAACAGACGGACAGACGGACAGACAGACAGACGGACAGACGGACAGACGGACATGCTCATATCAACTCAGGAGGTGATCCTGATCAAGAATATATATACTTTATAGGGTCGGAGATGTCTCCTTCACTGCGTTGCACAGTTTTGGACAAAATTATAATACCCTCTGCAAGGGTATAAAAACAAAAAGATGTAAACAGTTTGAAGCTATGATCTCTCGAATGGCACTTTCTAATGCGACAAAATGCGGAAGCACATGAATACCTGCAACATTCACACACAAACAAGAGAGCACCCACGTGGAAGTGTCAGAGACCTTTGGACCGCCCCAACTGCTCCCCAAAGCCAGCTTGGTGACCCGAAATAGGCTGACCTATCTGCTCTGCAGGGCCCCCACCCTTCTTCAAAGCAAACAAAACCCAGTGGCGACAGTTTTAAGGCCGGAATTATGGCTCAAATAGGAAGTATTTAGTCATCAAATGGGTGTATAATGATGGGCTATGGAAAGTGACAGGGAAGGAGATGTAATCATGGGGGAGTATGGGAGTTACTAAGAACAGAGTAGTTTTTAGAAGCTAAAAAATGGGCTAAGAGCTTATCTTCAAGATTTGCAAAAAATTAAAATAATAAAAGAAATAAATTATAGAAAGAGAACTGAAGAGAAGTATTTGAATGTTGGAATAAGTTTAGTCTAGTAACTGTAGCTAGTCTATAACTATATCCAAGTATTCTATAGGTATGTAGCTAGTCTATAACTATTTCAAAGTATTCTATAGGTTTTAAGCCTTCAAATCGTAGACCATCAAAGGACACTGCCGCATAATGTACGGCTCATAGCTTAAAAAATACGGGTAGAGAGTATAAACTTTAAAAATACTACAAAATATTGTAATAATAACTATGTAATATATCCATACGTATAATAAATACGTAATAATAAATATATATAATAACTTACGATTACTTAATCTTTTATTAATTATTTTCGACATACTCTTAGTTACAATTTCTTTTCTAAAAAAAAGTGCAAGTTATTATCCAACCTTGTCGCTAAGGTATGACCTCTAAAAAGTAGCCCAAAACTTTCAAACCCCTCACCATAAAGAAACCCCCATATAAAATTTATGCACCCCTATAAACTAAGCATATTTTAGTTTAAAAAAAAATGAGAAAAAAAAAAACTGTAAAGATACTTGCTAATTTGTTTGGCAAATGCGAAAATTTATGCAACATTGTGTGGCACGCAAAACAATTAAAAAACAAAAGCCCGGCATGAAAGTTAAATAAAAAACAAAAAAACACTTTTACTCTCAATGAGGGCTTTTTGTTAAAAAAAAAAAAAGCCACAAAACCAGAAAAGCAGATTTTCAGAGCAAAGAGCCAGCGAACCGAAACCCAACTTCGATGTCACGCACAATAATCGGCTTAGGTTACGCTTGGGTCCACCCTAGACCGCAGTTAGGGGCCACTTCGTGTGTGGTTTCGAACTCCCCATCGTAGCTGCCAATTGGATTATGCAAACTTTATTTCACGGATGCATCTGCATCTCAAAGATACAATGCTTATAGATGCGGGTGTATCTTGTTGTTGTTGTATCTTTGCGGCTTGCAACATCTCTTAAAAGTGAAGGCGATCGTGGCAGATTCGATTACACGCAGCTGGGAAGCTCGAAGGGTAATCGGAGCTACTTCGATCACTTCCGATGGATGGGATTACCAAAAAATCACTGAGAGAAAAAATTCTAGAATAATATAAATTTTTAAAATAATTTTTAAACCATATTTTAAAACCCCCTTTCTTACCTTTATTTTTCTTTCAGAAAATCGATCCCCTGACACGCATCCAGGAGGAGATCAAGGAGGTGGTACGTCGCGAACAGGAGTACCGCCAGCTGGCCACACTTTCCTCCGGCGGCACTCCCACCACCCCTCTGGCAGTGGAGTTCGAGACATACACGGTGAACGGCAATGACTTTGACGACCAGCCGGATGTGGACCAGGAGCAGGAACAGGATCAGGGTGTCCTGGTAACAGCTCAGCCGGCAGCTGTCCAGACCACCTCGCTGCTGCTGCCCATCGATGAGCTGTCGAACACACCATCCCTGGCCTCCAGTGTAAACAGCCACAAGGAGGAGAGCCTGGATGGTCAGCACTCGGACGATTCGGGGATCTCGGCCTCCTCGCAGAACATCAACTCCAACAACAACAACAACAGTGGGGCTAGTAAGCAGCCCGTCAAGCTGACCCTGGTGACCCGTCAGGAGCAGCGTTACATTGGACCCAATTGCTATAATATGACGCCGGAGCCGCCGCAGCAGAAACTGATCACCAGGACGATTTCGACGCCCCAGCTGAGTGGGCTGCCCCAGAAGCGGCAGTTCTCGTTCGGTGGCTCCACCAAGGGGGTGATGCAGCGTTTCATTGCCTCGCACGGCAAGCTGGGCTCGCCGGCCAGTCCCGGCAGCCTGCCCCTCTCCTCGCCCCTGATTTCGAACGGAAAGGTCAGTCCCATCAACTCCCAGAACTCGGGCCTCAAGCTGAACACCCGCACCGCGCTGGCCTTCTTGGAGAACGGCAATCCGACGCCGACGACCGTTACCCTCTCGCCGGCGGCCATTGAACGGGACTCCGAGGGACGTCCCCTGCGCCGGGGATATGTCCCGGTGGAGCAGAAGATCCAGCGGGAGCTGCAGGACCTCAAGTCCCGGGAGTCGGAGCTGAAGCGGCTGCGCAAGATCAACAGGCAGAACACGCTGAAGGCTTCCCTGGACAAGCTGTAAGTTACTCATTATTCTGGAGGATCTGTTTCCTATAATATATATTCATCTACTTGCCAGACAACTCAGCACAGATGACGAAGCCGATGTGGACGACGACGATGAGGATTCCGAGGTGGAGCACTGCTATGGACCTGGAAAGCTGCGTAATGCCCAGTCTACTCAAGAGCTAGATCGTAATGGGTGAGTATCTATATGGAGTTCATGAAAAACCCAACTAATCCTGGAAATCCCTTGATAGAAACGAACCAGAGATCATCCATAAACCATCGGGTAATCGCAGCCTGAATGCCACCGCGTATCTGGCCAATGGAAATGGCACTTCGAACGGAAGTGGAATGCGTCCGGCGATGTCCTTGGCGCAGCTGTGTGACTTGACGCCGGAGGAGGCGCCATCCTCCCGTGGCCTGATCGCCCAGTGGGAGAATCTGATCAAGAAGAACGCCGAAGGTGGAGCGGCCGTAGAGGCGGTTATTTAGAGGATCAAAGATCAAGATCAGTATCATCGGAATCAGTATAATCCGTGGCCACCAAGCGATCTGGTGCAGAGCAGACCAAATTATAACTAAATATATGTAGTATGCATGATATCCTTATATCCTTACCCTTCCAATCCTCTCCCATTCCCTAAAAAACTAAAAAAAAAGAAAATCAACGAATTAATCTTAAAAACAAAAAAAACGAGTAATTTGCAAATAATCCTTAAAACAAAGAAACTGATTTGAATTGCCTGTACTTAATTGTATAATTTATAATGTTTACGTAAACGAACTCTTTTGTATATAATTCTTCGTATTTTCGACTTGCTTATAATTTATTACAAAAAAAAAATCAACTTTATATATGTTATGTAATACCCACTACATAAATAATAATATTAATATTATATATACTATATATATATATACAAACAAAATACAAAATGTATGAAACCAATATGCAAAAGACGATTAAATAAATTATAGAAACACAAAAAAAAAAACAACCCGATGATATTCCGATCAAATGGAATATTTAATGAGTGGCTGGCACAATTCTGTAAAACTTTTATCCGAAGGTACAGGTGCTCAGAAAGCGGGAATGGGTTCTGGATTTTCAATTACTTTCCCACTTACTTACTCTTAATTCAAATGCAAATTTAAAAAAAAAACCCAAATACGTATAAAATTTGAAAAAAGCTTGCGAATATGTTTAATTCAGATGCCTAAAAGTATGCCAAGATTTGTGAACTGAGACAGTCTACTAGAATGTCAAACCTTTCCGAGAATGTCAAACCTTTCGGAGCTGCGCACTTTAAGGACCTCAATTTTCCACTTAAAAAAGGATAACAAACATCCTTTACCTTTTTATTTCTAAAAAGCCAAAAACGCTCTTTCTATAGCGAATATCTCAATCAATACTAAGCGGATTTAAAAAGAAACACTGTTTTGTAATAAGGACAATGATATCCTTTGAATTGCATCCCAAGATTTTAAGAATTGAGCGAAAAAAAATCCAGTCCGATTTTAGCCTTTTTTCTAAGGGGTAACATCATGATTTTTGCCAAAATTTAAGACACAATTTTTTTGTTCGATTTTAAAAATCTTGTGATGCAGATCGAAGGATATTCATGTCCTGATTTAAAAATGGTATCGCTTTTGAAAATCCGTTCAGAAATGACCAAGATATGAGCTTGAAAAGATCCGCCATGGCGGCCACCTTGCGCCGAAAATTTCTCGAAATTCGTATGGGAGCTCATCTGAGGTACCAGGCGAACAGAAATCAGCAGAAGGTGGCTGAATCCAAGCAGTGCAAGCAGTTCAAGCAGTTTCCCCACCCCCCTCACCCTAGCTTCGACAGAAAAATTACACAATTGTCCCTTACCCGGCCCCATGGACCTCACATTCCCATGCTAGTTTCCCAAGCGGGACTTAATTGTTAGGACAATAAATAGTGGCCCCACCGTCTCCTTATTATATTTCCTGCATTTTTTATACGTTCTACTTTACTTAATGATGATTTTATAATCCTAAATTAGCAGTTTTGTTGCTTAATTAAAACAAATATTAAATATATAAAGGTAAAGGCAAGTGAAGGGTTAACCGTCGTAATTTGCAGTAAAACGGTACTATTGCCATGATGGCCAATCACAGCCTCCCAATTTGAGATCCACAACGGTGATTTCCACCTAATGATGGCAAAACTAAGGTTCCACACGTTGATTTTCTGCGCGTGTCACGACTTGGGGCTCTCGTGAGCGAAAATGTATGGGGACGGCGAGTCGTGCTCAGCTCGCGTGCCAAGTGCCGTTCGAAATCACTCCCGCTCTCCCACCACTGTTACAGCCGAATTGTCTACCTCTCCCCCTCTAATAATGATGGGTAGCAGCATCCCATTCTCCCCCATGGAGTATGATGCTGTGATCCCAATTCCATAAGGGTCAATGGGGGGGTAGAGTGCCACCACAGGGGGGGTTTCTCCCTTTCCCACACATGGCTAGCTCAGAAAAATTGATCTGAACTGCTTGCACTGCTTGAATCCGGCCACCTTCTGCTGATTTCTGTTCGCCTGGTACCTCAGATGGGCTCCCATACGAATTTCGAGAAATTTTCGGCGCGAGGTGGCCGCCAAGGCGGATCTTTCCAAGCTCATATCTTGGTAATTTCTGAATGGATTTCAAAAAGTGATACCATTTTGAAATCAGGACATTAATATCCTTCGATCTGCATCAAAATATTTTAAAAATCGAACAAAAAAATTTGGGCCGATTTTCGCAAAAAATCATGATGTTACCCCTGTCAAAAATGGCGAAAATGGGGTCGAAATTTTATTGTTCGATTTTTGAAATCTTGGGATGCAATTCGAAGGATATTGATGTCCTGATTGAGAAATGGTATTCTGTTCCTGAATCGGTTGCCAAATGACAAAGATATGCTGAAATCAAAAACCAAAGAAAACTGTTTTTTGTTGCATACTTTGAGGGGCTTTCTGGGAAGGAGGGATCGCGTCAGTATTGAGTCCCTGTCAGAAATTGCGAAAATCGGGCCGAAATTGGTTTGGCTGAATTTCCGCAATCTTGGGATGCAGTTCAAAGGATATCATTGTCCTTATTACAAAACAGTGTTCCTTCTCCAAATCCGCTTAGTATTGATTGAGATATTCGCTTTAGAAAAATCGTTTTTTGCTTTTTTGAAAAAAAATGGGATTTTCCCCTATGGGCCCACTGCGATGGCTATATCTTTTCCAATTCTCATCCGATTCTCAAGCGGAGTGTTTTAAACGATTTCTGGATCGATTTGCCACCATTCTGCATCAAAATCCCAACACAAAATATTTTTTCAATTTTTTGTCCATTTTTCCCGATGGGATCCCTGAAAATGGTGTTTTCCCCTATAGGACCCACTGCGATGGCTATATCTTCCCCAATTTTCATCCGATTCTCAAGCGGAGTGTTTTAAACGATTTCTGGATCGATTTGCCACCATTCTGCATCAAAATCCCAACACAAAATATTTTTTCAATTTTTTGTCCATTTTTCCCGATGGGATCCTTGAAAATGGGGTTTTCCCCTATAGGGCCCACTGCGATGGCTATATCTTCCTCAATTCTCATCCGATTCTCAAGCGGAGTGTTTTAAACGAGTTCTGGATCGATTTGCCACCATTCTGCATCAAAATCCTGAGACAAAATATTTTTTCAATTTTTTGTCCATTTTTCCTGATGGGATCCCTGAAAATGGGGTTTTTTCCTAAAGGGCCCACTGCGATGGCTATATCTTTCCCAATTCTCATCCGATTCTCAAGCGGAGTGTTTTAATCGACTTCTGGATCGATTTGCCACCATTCTGCATCAAAATCCTGAGACAAAATATTTTTTAGATTTTTTGTCCATTTTTCCGGATGGGATCCCTTGAAAATGGGGTTTTCCCCTATAGGGCCCACTGCGATGGCTATATCTTCCTCAATTCTCATCCGATTCTCAAGCGGAGTGTTTTAAACGAGTTCTGGATCGATTTGCCACCATTCTGCATCAAAATCCTGAGACAAAATATTTTTTCAATTTTTTGTCCATTTTTCCTGATGGGATCCCTGAAAATGGGGTTTTTTCCTAAAGGGCCCACTGCGATGGCTATATCTTTCCCAATTCTCATCCGATTCTCAAGCGGAGTGTTTTAATCGACTTCTGGATCGATTTGCCACCATTCTGCATCAAAATCCTGAGACAAAATATTTTTTAGATTTTTTGTCCATTTTTCCGGATGGGATCCCTTGAAAATGGGGTTTTCCCCTATAGGGCCCACTGCGATGGCTATATCTTCCTCAATTCTCATCCGATTCTCAAGCGGAGTGTTTTAAACGAGTTCTGGATCGATTTGCCACCATTCTGCATCAAAATCCTGAGACAAAATATTTTTTCAATTTTTTGTCCATTTTTCCTGATGGGATCCCTGAAAATGGGGTTTTTTCCTAAAGGGCCCACTGCGATGGCTATATCTTTCCCAATTCTCATCCGATTCTCAAGCGGAGTGTTTTAATCGACTTCTGGATCGATTTGCAACCATTCTGCATCAAAATCCTGAGACAAAATATTTTTTAGATTTTTTGTCCATTTTTCCTGATGGGATCCCTGAAAATGGGGTTTTTTCCTATAGGGGCCACTGCGATGGCTATATCTTTCCCAATTCTCATCCGATTCTCAAGCGGAGTGTTTTAATCGACTTCTGGATCGATTTGCCACCATTCTGCATCAAAATCCAGAGACAAAATATTTTTTAGATTTTTTGTCCATTTTTCCTGATGGGATCCCTGAAAATGGGGTTTTTTCCTATAGTGTCCACTGCGATGGCTATATCTTCCCCAATTCTAATCCGATTCTCAAGCGGAGTGTTTTAATCGAATTCTGGATCGATTTGCCACCATTTTGTATTAAATGAAGGACATTAAAGTCCTGATTCCAAAATGGTTTCCAGTTCGGATAAGAAATGGCTCGAATATCGTATATATGAAACCCCTCTACCAATGTCGTAGGTTTGGTTTAGAACTCGGCTAACATTTTAAAAATTCTAAATAAATGACAATTTGATGCATTTTTCTGATTTTAAGTCAAATAAAAATAGCATAGTAATTTTTTTTTGGAAATTTTTATATTTATTTTTATTAAATACATTTCGTTTGTTTCGTTTTGTTGAGTTTTTTTGTTTTGTTGCCGCTCCTCGTGTGTAATTACGTATTCGCTCTGTACTAATTGAATTAATCAGATATTTTAGGGTGCGATTTGAGAGATAGAGCTCTTTTTTGTATGTTTTTTCGTTTGTTTGGAATTCAAGGATCGGTTAGATTAATCCACAGACATAAGTACATTTATACACAACAAAAAAACGGAAGCGATATATCATTTGGATTCTGGATTGATTTTGTTTTCTTTTTTGGATTTTTTACGTTGCTACGGAAGCCTCAAAATATATATATTAATATATATATCGTATATGTATGTGGTTGCTGTTCGGTTTTTGTTTTCTATGGTTTTTCTATGTAAAGTTGAAATCTTAGCTTAGAAGTTATTGCAAATAAAATCATATTATCTGATCCGATCTGTCTGTGAGTGAGTTTTCTTTTGTATACTATTTTCTTTTATTTTAATTTTTTTATTTACAAAAGCCGTTTAGAATTTGGAGCAGCTTTCAACGGGGGGAAATCGCGGAAAACTGTCACTGGACTTGGCTCTTAATTATGGACAAAATCATGGTACAACTTAGATCTAAATTAGTCAAAATAATAGATATATGTATATATATTGCACTGCATCGGATTGCTTGAGTATTAGAAATTAGGCAACAATTAACACAGATTTTAACAAAAAATAAAACATACATAAATAATTAAATAAATATAATTAAAAAATAATATTCTAGATTAGTTTAATACTTTGGCACACACATATATATATGTATATATATATGGATATATAAACGTAAATTGGAAATCATTTTGCATTATTGCTCGGCGGTACAAAGGTGGAACAGAAAACTGCCAATATAATTAGTTAATTAATTAATTAATTAATTAGCATCTAGCACATCCTGCATATCTTTCTGGAACTGGAACCAAAAAACCATTGACTGCTCTTTTTTAATATCGTGTATATATATATATATATAGATGTATATATAGAAATATAAATAGTAAGTATATATCATTTAGCATTCATAATATATATATATATATATATATGCATATACATACATATATAGTTTTTGCCACCATCTTTTTTTAAATTTTTCGTTTTTTTTTTAAATTAGAAACTAACACTTAACCGACTTTTTCATATGCGTTGCTATATCCTTCCGATCCGATTTCGATTTCGTTTCGATCCTATATATTTTTGTTTTGTTTTTTTTTTTAACCAAAAAAGCGCTTTGAGCGTTCTATTTCGCGTATCCTTCTCCTTGTTATCCTTTTCATTATCCTTTTCATTTTTTCAACCTACAGCTAAGACCACAAAAAAAAAAACACATCCGACATCGCTTCAGGCTAAAGATAGTTCTCATCTATACATACTATATAGACATTATTTTTTTTTTTTCGATTTTCTTTAGTTTTTTTTTTGGTTTTTTAACATAAAATTAATCAACAAATTTTTAGAGTTGCTTGCTAAAACTTTTTCTTATAGTGTATACGTGCCCTAAGCCATTATCCATGCCTGTTTGTTAGTGTTTCTCGTTTCTCACTTTTTCTCTCAGTGTAAGATTTAAGCCAATTGTAGCCAAACAGGTATGGATATTCAAATTTTTTGTTGTTGTATGAATATGTATATGTGAGTGTGTGTCTGAGTGCTACGGAAAGTTGCATATAAGTTACTCAAGTTTTCTTCAAGTGTATGTGATAGTTGCAGAGTGTAGAGTGTAGAGTCTATTGGAATTCTACGTTTCCGGCGTAAAAACACATCTAAAAAATGCCCAACTGTCAAGTGCTCTTGTTTCCTCTACATACATACATATATATGCATTTTTTGTTTGTATATCATTTTGTATATATAATCATTGCATTTCATCATCATCATCATCATCATCATGTTTGTATATATGCTTTCTATATAAATATCCTTTTTTTTTTGTGGATTTTTTTTATTATTTGCTGGTATTGTCTGAATGTGCTACGTACTTTTAACGCTAAACTAGTATGTGTGGGTGTACTTGTTCTTCTTCTTCTTCTTATTGTTGTTGTAATAAAAAAAAAATTGGTGAAAAAAAAAACATTATTTGCAAAAATTTGCGTTTACAACTATTCGCATACATAACTAGTGCAATACAATGTTCACATATGTTTCCTAATATCCTCTACATGCTATTAATATGTTATTCTGTTTTTTGTTTTTTTTTTTTAAATCCTTGAATCCTAAAAATGTCCTTTTTAGAGCAACTGGGCTATAACCGGTTCAATGAGGCACATGTGCTCAGCACCGCGCACTGGCAACCGATTGAGGCAAAAGTGCCGGATCATCTCGGGCACCGTCTCGAAAGGACGACTGAATTGCCCCAAAATGTACTGGCCGGTTTCGTTGCGTTGTATCCTCATATGCATGAAGCCCTTGGCGCCCCTATAATAAAATAAATCATAAATTTTATTAATATTTTTTTGGTTTTTAAATAAAAGTTCATTAAACTTACTTGAGGGAGAGGGAGTAGTCCTGCTTGGTGGACTCGCAATTGCGAACTAAAAAGGATCCTTCAGCCAAAGGACGCAATGTGGTTTCTGCTTCGATTCGAGTAATGGCTCCATGATACCATCTAAGGGAATTTTGGAAAATATATATTAAATTTTAGATTTAGAACTAGAAGTAGTTATTAATTTTTGTTTCTTAGAGTGGTTATCCTTTTATTTTTAAAAATAATCAGGTATTTCAGACTTAATAAAAGGAAATACAATTTTCGAACTCGAATTATTATTTGAAGTCTCATTTTAAGAGTAGTTAGTCCTTGATTTTCAACATAAATGGACTTTTTGGACACAAGAAATAGAAGAAAATATCTATCTAACTCTTATTGTTATTTTAGTCTCTTTTTTTTAAGAAGTAAGTCTAATTTTTAAACAAGAATGGACTTTAAAGACAAAAAAAAAGGCAAAAATGAAATATTTCGAACTCGAATCGCTATTGTTATTCGCTTTTTCAACATGAATGGACATGTTATACCGAAAAAATGCATAAAAGTAAATGATTTCGAACTGGAACTATCGTTTTTAGTCTCTTTTCTAAAAGTGATTGACTTTTTTAAACATAAATGGACATATTAGGCACAAAATAATTAAAAAAAGCAATTTCGAGAACTATTTGGTATTTTTAAAAGTATTTTTTAGTTTTTTTTTAACATAAATGAACATCTTATACCGAAAAAAATGATTTTCGAACTCTACAGTCATTGTTATTCTCTTTTCTAAGAGTGATTGGCTTTTTGAAACGTACAAATATTGAAATGTTGGACACAAAATAATTTAAAAACAAAAATAATTTCGAGCTCTATTTGGTATTTTTAGTATTTCGTAGTATTTTTAGTCTTTTTTGAAAACGAATAAACGTGTAGAAGAAGAAAAAACAGAAGATCTCAAGCTCTGGTATAGAGAATCCTAACAAAAAGCCTAACAAAGAACTCCTTGATATTCAAGGATTAACCCTATTATCCTTTCAGTAAACCCCCCTACTCACCCCTGTCTCTCCAAGGGAATGCTGACATCAATCAGATCCACAGCCGTGACATATCCCTGGCAGAGATTCATGTTCAGCTCCTTGTTGCTGTTGAGTCCTCGCAGATCCAGGCTCCCGAACTGCTTCGTAGACTGGCGCGGCTCGTTCAGATTCAGGGTGAGGTTCTGACGGAAGAGAGCCGTATCTGAAAGGATAACAAGGATTAAGAAGAGCACTCATAGATGGAATATAGAAACTCACCCAATTTACTGGAAATCTTCTGATCGTCTCGCATGGAATGGCTGGAGGAGGCCTGGGAGATGCCACTGGACTCGGTGCTGTGCATCAGAAGGTTGTTGATCTCCGCCTGGTTGGCGCGCAGACGCCTCCTCAGCTTGGGCATGTCGAAGGGCAGCTCGCCCAGGTCCACGGACGTGGCACTGCCCGAGGTGCAGGCCGCCTCCTGTTGCAGGGTCTTGCGGCGCCTCAGCTTCGGCATATCGAACGGCAGATCCCGCAGATCCTGCGGCATGCCGCCACCTCCTCCGGCCGCTGCACCTGCCCCGCTGCCACTGCCACTGGCCAGGGTACCGCCGGCCGCAGTAGTCGCTCCGGACACGGAGGTGTCTGCCCCAATCAGTTGCAACTTGGGCAGGGTGAGGCGTTGCAGGGCCAGGCCGGCTTGGGTGGGCGGCTTTCCCTCCTCGCGGGAGTGCAGGGATATGCCGCTGTCCGATCCCAGGAGCTCATCGGCCAGCTGGAGCAGAGCCTTGTTGGGGGCACCTCCGCGATTCCCACGCAGTTGCTTCGAGGAGGCCCCAGTTCCAGCCAGGACATCCTCCTGGCCCGCTGGCCCCTGCTGCTGTCCTTGCACCTGGACCTGCACCTGCTGCTGCTGTTGCTGGGACTGCTCGGAGGCACTGGCCGAAGCCGGTTCTTGGGAGGATTTGTCCGAGATGGGGCTGAGGATGTGCAGCTTGGAGTGGAGCAGCAGGGGCGCCGGCCGCAGGGGATAGGCCACACTGGAGCCGGCACTGCCGTTCCCGCCACTGCCGCCACTCTCCGAGCTGTGGGAGCTGAGGGAGCTGGAGTGCCGCGACTCGGAGCTGGAGGTGCTCCGATTGCCCTCGCTGGTGCTGGAACGCAGGGACTCCATGCTGCCGCCGCTGCTCGAGGTGGCGATGCTCTCCGTGCTGCTGTAGTTGTGCCCGGGTATGCTCCCCTGGCCCTTGCCCGGTCGCTGGTGACCCCGGCGATGGTGATGATGATGCGGATGGTGGTGGCGCTGCGACGTGGACGAGCCCTGCGGCTGTCCCGCACCCTGGGCACTCCTCCGCAGCTCCAGCACCCTGCCCGACTCCAAGACAAACGAGCGTGGTCGTCGCGGAGCTGCCCCCGACACAGATCCCACTCCAGGTCCGGTACCGGGTCCACCGCCACCACCTCCTCCTCCGGCTGTGGAGGCCGAAGCGGAGGCCGAGCCGGATGCCGCGTTGGAGTTGGAGTTGGTGGAGGGCGGATTCACGTAGGCGCTGTCGGTGAGGCTGTTGTCGTTGCTGCTCCCGCCGCACATCTGCTGGTTCTTGATGGACTGCAGCGGCAGGCGGAGGTCCCGCAGCCGGGGATGGGCTGGATTGGCGGCGGGCAGGTTGGGGGCACTCCTAATACTGTTCATGTTCAGGTAGCGGTCGTGCTTGCCCGGAAACTTCATCGGCAACGGTGCCGTGGATGGCGGCGACGGCGTATAGCCCCTCACGGGTAGCTGCTGGGTGCTGCTGCTGCCGGATGGCTCACTGCCCTTGGGCGGATTGGGCGCCTGACCCTGGCTCTGGTTCTGATTCTGCTGGTCCACCTGGCTGAGTTGCAGCTTGCCCATTTCGGCCTGGACGTGATGCACCTGGACCTGCGCCTCGCCAGCCTGCTCCTGGAGCGCCTGGTTCTTGGAGTTCTTGGCCCGTTTGCAGTCGCCGGAACGGGTTTTGGGAGCCAGTGCCTCCGTATTGCCATTGTTGGTGAGCTGCAGCAGCACGGAATGATTGGTGATGCGATCCACCTCGTCCAGGTCATCGTCCGACTTGGCAATCTTGCAATCGAAGGCCGTCTCGTAGATTTGCCGGCGACTGCGGCTGCCCATGATGTCCTCCTCTGAGTCGACCGTGTCCTCCGAGTCCTCCGTATCCTCTTCGTCTCCGTCACCGTCTCTGTCGTCTTCGTCGTCGTCGTCGTCGTCGTCCCCCTCCTCCGCTTCCGCCTCCCCCTCGTCGTGGTTGGACGTCCCGTAGAGATCTAGGGCGTTTGCCGGCGTTTGGTTCGTTGATGGCTGGATGGCGCACTCGGCGCATTCATGGACGCCATGCGGATGGACATAGAAGATGCTGCGTGGCCGGAAGTACTCCTCCTCGAGATCATCGCCTCCGCCTCCGGCTTCACCACGGCTACCCCGGCCGCCGGAGGAGGATGGTGGGGCGGCGATGCAGGCTCCGCACACGGCTACTGGTCCGAGCAGGCGGTGCGGTGGCATCGGCTCAATACCAGCAACTAGTCCTTGTCCTGGTCCTGGTCCGGGTCCTGGTCCTTGTCCTGGAACTGAGGATGAAACAGGAGCTGGTGGTGGTGGGCAGCACTTGAGGAGCTCACCCTCGCCGGCGTCGCAATGCTGCAGTTGCAGTTGTAGCTCACTTCCGGTGGAGTTGCTGCCGGTTGGGTGGCGGGGCTGGACGTTGCACGTCTTCCGGACGAGGGCCAAGGCCCGGGCGTGCCACTCGCGCCGCTTGAGGCACTCGCTGCAGTCGGACTCCTCGGAGGTGCTGGTGCTCGGTGTCTCGCACCGTATTATGTGGACGCCCTCCTCCGTGAAGCTGTACCGCTTGGGTGTGGCCTGGTTCTCTGGATCTAGATCTAGATCCAAGTCCTTTAGCTCCTGCTCCTGCTCTGGATCCTGGCCGTCCTGTTCGGGGGGCTCTGGCAACTCCTCCTGGGGCTGGGGCACATCCAAGCTAGAGCTCTTCCTGTAGGCCGCTGGCTGTTGGGCGGCAGTCTGTTGCGGCGGTTCGCTGGCCGTCGACTGGCGACTCTTAAGCTTGATCTCCTCCCTATCCCTATCCCTATCCCGGTCCTTATCCTTGTCCTTGTCCTGGCGGCTCTTGAGCAGATCCGAGTAGTAGTAGGGCGAGGGCTGGCGCTTGCTGTGCTCCGCGGTGGCAACAGTCAGCTTCCTGGGACTTCGTTGCAGTTGCGGCGGCAGGGGCCGCACCAGATCGTCGGTTATGGAGTCCGGGGAGTTGAGTCCTGCCGCTGGTAGCACGGATTGTGGCACTGGGGGAGGTGCTGGTATCGGTCCGGCCGGAGGTCCTGTTAGAGTTCCGGGTAGAGTGCCAGGCAGAGGAGCTGCAACTCCAACTGGCAGAGGTGGCTGCTCAACTTCCTCGTCTATATCAGCCTCGTCGTCCGAGGATTTCGGGGCAGAAGAGTCTGTAATTAAAGGATATTGATAATTAATTAATTAATTAATTATTTTTAATTTTAAATAAAACTCTATAATTAATTAAGCTTCGCACAAACTAATTAACAAACTTTCAGGCCAAGAAAGAAAGCCTGTTGAGGTTCATTAGGTCCTGCAAGGTCTCGGGTGATGGTGCAACTGCAAGTGGCCACCAATTAGAAGGACGAAGGACACAAGCCCACCATCTGCCATCTGGCATCTGGCATCCGGCAAGGATGGAACTTTTCGCGCTGCGGCGACTTCGATTAGCCAAGCGTAAAATGGAAAATGGCAGAGACTCTGATTAAGGGCTGCACTGCAAAAACGAATCCTTGCCAAAGGACTCTTCCAGTTGAGGAGGAGGCGACGGCGAGGGCGAGGGTGAGGGCGAGGGCGAGGCGGAGGCGTCAGCCAAGCGCCAAATAGACTGCGTCAACTCCATTTGCGTTTCAATTGCGAGTCCTCGGGCGCCGCAGTGTCGTCGCTGCGACTTAATTAGAAACTGTCAGCGCTGCCTCCCAGCCTGCCACAGCCTCCCAGTTTCGGGTTAAATATATATATTTATTTTATATATATTTTTAACATCTACCTAGTATTTGTGTTGGATTTATAGTGGCTTGTGGGCAAGCTTAAAATTATCCAACAGGCAGAGGTCTTTCATTAAGAAACAAGAAAGCAAAGCTAACTTCGGGCGGAGCCGAAGTTGATATACCCTTGCAGCTAAAACCGGATATATATCGCAAACATCGGATATAGTTGGCCGATCCTTATGGGAATATGAATATATAATCCAATTTATTACAATACAAAATCTAAAAAAAGTCTCAAGCTTCTATCTTCAAAAATACCAAAGTTGGTATTTCTACCAAAAACCATTTCCGATCGTACAGTTATATGTCAGCTATAAGATATAGTCAACCGATCGTTATGAAATTTGGTAGATCGGATAAACTGACCAAAAATAGAATGTGTACCAAGTGCCAGCTTTCTATCAACAAAAAAAAAGAAAGTTGGGTCATTTCCGATTGTTCAGTTATATGGCAGCTATAGGATATAGTCGGCCGATCCTTATGAAATTCCTTATGGAAATTCCTATAATTCCTTATTCCGATCCTTATGGCATGTCGTATTAGGTTGCCAAAAAAAGCTCTCACCTAAAATTTGAACTCTCTAACTTTAAAAACACCAAAGTTATACCATTTCCGATCAATCAGTTATATGACAGCTATAGGATATAGTCGACCGATCCGGGCCGTTCCGACTTATATACTGCGTGCAAAGGAAAGAAGGATGTGTGCAAAGTTTCAAGACGATAGCTTTAAAACTGAGAGACTAGTTCGCGTAGAAACAGACAGACGGACAGACAGACGGACAGACAGACGGACAGACGGACAGACGGACAGACGGACAGACGGACATGCTCATATGAACTCAGGAGGTGATCCTGATCAAGAATATATATACTTTATAGGGTCGGAGATGTCTCCTTCACTGCGTTGCACACTTTTGACCAAAATTATAATACCCTCTGCAAGGGTATAAAAATATCAAGGAATGATTACAAGTTTCTGGAGAAAGACTTAGTTTGGCTTTAAGATTCATTTTTTGGGGGGAAGTTTGTCTCTAAATATTCGTTTTTTTAGTTTTAAAATTAATAATACATGTTTAATAAATCATGAAAATTTCCTTCTTCTTGGGTAAGGATAAAATACATAAATATTGTGTATAGATTAATAACAAAATCTTAAGAAACAATTCAAATAGAAACTGGTCTTTGGTAATTAAGATTCTCTAGCAAAGTTTCTTCAAGAAAGATCTATAAACTTTTTTAATAAAACCTTCAAAAATGGTCTAAAAATATTGAAATATTATGTTGAAAGTTAATAAAACGTGTGTTTTTGAGACAAATATTTAAGACCTATAATTTAAAACTATTTGTTTATCAAAAATAGTCTTAAATATGAGAAAGTTAAAAGCTAAAAGCTAAAAAGCTTGGTTAGCTACCAAGTTCTTCAAGCTAAAAATGTCAACAAAAAATTATTTAAAATACTATCTAAATACAAAATAGTCTCAATAATAAAATAAAAACATTGTTTAGCTTACTAAGCACTTTCCTAAAAATACTAGTTTTTCTGAAGGTTTCCATGTAACATGTGTTTAATGTTTTATGACAATATCACCTATCACCAATAATATTAAATACAATTTTTATTTAAATAAAAAAAGTTCAAATTTTAAAAGATTTAAAAAAGAAAAGTAAATTAAAAAATAGAGACTTCTTAACCTTTTTTCCAACTCCCCCCTTACTGTAGTACCTATATATTTCTCATATCAAGTATCCGCCCAGTAGTCCCTGCTGGTAATGTCTGGTAATTATATCATCCCTGCTCACCTGAATTGTATTGGCTATTCCTTTTGTCCTTTTTTAGATTTCCGTTGTTGTTGTTGTAGGTGGAGTGTCTCTGTTGTTGTTGCTGCTGCTGTGGCACGCAACGTGGCGTTGGCAATGTTTGTTGCAACTGTTGTTGCAATTGTTGCTGCTGCTGTTGCAGTTGCTGCTGCTGCTGCTGCTGTAGCTGATGTTGGTGCCTCAGGTGGAGTTGCAGTTGCAACTGATGCTGCTGATGGGCCCGCTTGTGGCTCGGATTGGAGCGCCTCTTGGCCTTCTTGTGGTAGACCTTCTTGTGCTGCCGCGTATCCTTCGGATCCGAATATCCTTCGATCAGCTTCACCGATGCCTGCTTGATGTTGCTGTTCGGCAGCGGTGGATGTTGCAAGGTGGCACGTTGCTGCAGTTGTTGTTGTTGCTGCTGTTGCTGTTGCACTCCCACTGGCAATGTATTGTTGTTGTTGTGATGATGGCTGTGCGTATTGCTGGCAATGTTGTTGTTATTGTTGCCGATTTGTTGCAAGTGTTGTTGTTGCTGCTGCTGATGCGGCAATGTGGCAAGTGGAGCAGGCAATGGCGGGGCTACTGATGTTGCCGCTGCAGCTGATGATGGTGGTGGTGCTGCTGCTGCTGCTACTGCTGATGTTGCAACTGTTGCTGGTGGTCCTCCTCCTGGTGCTGCTGATGTTGCTGGTACTGCTGCTGCAACTGCCCCTGGTACTTGCAACGCTTGTTGGGCTTCGCCAAACGGCAGCTGTTTGGAACAAAGAACGAATTAGCTTTTGTTGCTCACTAATTTGATTTGCATTTCAATTTCGAATTTCTTTTTTCAATTTAATTGAAAAAGAATTGCAAATAAAAGCAAAAAAAAAATAAATAAATGAAAAGGCCACCAATGCCAGCCCGGAATGTGCGTGGCCAACTCGTTTATAGAACTTGAAGGGTTTCCCCAATGGTAGAAAGAGGTAGAGAGGTAGACGGCTAGTGGTAGATGGTATATGCTATCGAGGTTTAACAGCCCAATTGAGCCACCCTAGAAACCAATCTATAAAATCGTAACCACCCTAGGAGTGGGGGGGTCTAGCTACCTGGCCTTTTCTGGAGGTCTTAGGAAATAACTAAAGTATTATCTAATTTATTATACTCTTTCTACATACATAGGTATCAGACTGATACTATCAGTGCGCCCCTTTTATTAAATAAAATATAAAAAATAATCCAAAAATAATCCAAAAATAATTCGAATTTTAATTTATTTTATTTGGCCCTGCTTAAGTGCCACCTATGAGAATCGAGGAGGAGGGCACTGCTTTTATTAATTAATTTTTTTTTATTTATGAATTATTTTTCATAAAAAGTCAATTTTAATTTTTTTTATTTTAATTTCTTAGCCCTGCTTAAGTGCCAGCTATGAGAATCGAGGAGGAGGGCGCTGTTTTTTTTTTTTTATTTATTTTTTATTTCTTACAAAAATACGTATAAAATAGAACTGAACCATCAAAAAAAGCACAGCTTTGCTGTTTTTGAAGGAAGAAGGTTGCGATTTTCATAGGATTATATTATAAAAGATAATATAGTAATTATTACTACCTTAGTGCATTTTAAAAGGCACCTATTCTTGCTTCTCTCAACCTATTTTAAAGACCCTAACCCTTCATTTCATTATTAATACAACCAGATATTAAAAATCCCCTTTTCATTAATCAATAATCCTTTCAATTATAATTCCTAAAAGTTTTGAAAACTTTCAACTTGAAGTACTCCCCATTTAATGTTCAATATCGTCCACATTTTTGCTCTGAACTTGATATGAACGTGAATGGAAACTAATTAACGAGAAAATGATGGACATTTGCGAGGAAAATTGAAAACAAAGCACCCATACAGACAGTTGCTAGGTAATGGATTTTCCCCTGGATTCGATCTTTTGATTTGTCAGAATGAATGATTGATGGATGAATGGTTGGATAGATGGATAGATGGTTGGTTGGTTGGATTTCAAGTGGAAGAGAAAACAAACCAAACACACTTGGTTGCTTGGCTCTCATAACAATTCGATGTCAATCACAATGACCGGATGTTCCTGGATGCCATTTCCACTGACAAATGGCCATCAGGGACATCAAGGAAATGCCACACTTTGGTGACATTAACGTAGCCCCAATGTTAGGCCATTATGTTCCGAACATAAATTTCCGCTAACACGGCCAGCCTGTCCAAATGGCCAACAAGGACCAAGGATGAGAATTTTCAATTAAAACTCATAAATTACAAGTGAGTGGCGATGTAAGGATATCTTCAGTTTTAATGAATTTGAATACTACTCCCTGGCAGCAGGATATCACATGTTTAAATATTTGCCTTTGATTATTCAATGCTTATACCAGACTCGAAGGACTCCAAGGACATCCTCTAACAAGCACGTTTACATTTTTTCCATTTGAAATAATGAAAACTTGTCTGCGTTTGTTGCCGCAGCAACGTGATTTTTATGCCAACTTTAATGAAAAAGCGACGCAATCGTCGTTATTGGTGGTTATCCTGTTGGGGTTAGGGGGTCCTTTCCCATCCACCCATGTACTGTCTCCACTGTCTGTACAGTCTGTCCTGTCTGCCAGCCTTTTGTCTAACTGCCTTCGTCCTCAGCCTCTCAACTCCTGACAGACTAATGCTGAATAAGAGCTCCTGTTTGGACATCCCCCCAGTAACTTGGCAAAAATTATCTAAGAGTATCTGATGATTTAATGCACTGAGAATAAATTTATTTAATCAAATTTTAGTTAATAGATAAATAAACAACTAACGGAAAATTAAGAAAAAATTAGGGTTAGTTCTAAAAACAAGAGATTTAAAAGATGAGTCTGTCTTTTAGGATTTATCTTTTTAAAATATTTTAAATCCTTTTTTGATTAATTTGGTTGCTTGTTTTTATTTGTCCTTTATTTTTGATCTCACTTTAAGCTCATAGAACCCATTATCTAGTGCAATTCTATATCATTCCCCCCCTAAGCTAGACAGACAACAGGACGTATGAGTGATATTTAAGCTGAAGCTGTCTCTTCTGGCGTTTTCTTGCCTTTTGAGGATGGGATGAGTTGGAGAGTTGGTTGAAGGAAAAAAATTTATATGGAAACCATGGCCATAGCCATAGCCAAGTTATTGAAATAAACAAAAGTACACACACACATAAACACACACATATAAACACATAAACACAAACGTGTCCTGGCTGCGGCTTTTGTGTTTTTGGAGTTGTTGTTTTGCTGGAAACTCTGGTTGTTGGCTGAGTTATCGTTGAATATTACTCCATGGAGAGTAATAGCAACAACTGTAAAAGCCAAACCATACTCCTCCCCCCCAACCCCCTCAATTTTTTTTTTTTTTTGGCTCCATCCTCCTCCTGTTTTCAAAGCCCCACTTCAAAGCCAGACGTTCCACATATCGAAAAATGTCGCGCTCGCTCGCTGCCATTAAAACGTGAGCTGCCACCGAAAAAAAATGGCAAGAAAAAAAAAACAGCCGTAACAATGGCTCAAATGCACTGAGAAAAATTGGATATTTATGATTTAAAATGCTACATCCTTCTTGTATTTAAGATTTAATACATTTTCTAAGGTTTTTAGCTACTTTCTTCTTCTAATTATTTTTTAAAACCTTAAAACCCTCTAATATTTCTTCAAGTGCATACCCCCCACACACCTACACTGACACACACACACACACATGCTTAGTAAAAGCTATTATGGCATCATCACATGGCTCTGGACACGCGTCTCGCGCCCCATCTCTCTCACACACATGCCTCTGTTTATGGCAAACAAAAGTCATGAGATAGAATTACATTAATAACCGCCCAGGAGAGAAAGAGATGGGGCTACAAAAAAAAAATAAACAAAAAAAATATGAAAAAAAAAAACTGAACAGCAAAAGGCGCTAAACGTTATCGCTTTGGGCCATTTGCAGTATGAATATTTTGCAGAGGGGGGCAGGGGCGGTGGCGGGGGCAGGAAGAAAGCTGGAGAAAGCCAGGAAAATTGGCAGGAAAATCTAGGGAAATTATTCAGGCAATTTCAAAGGACTTAAACTAACTGATTGGCTCTCATAGTTAAGACTAATAAGGTTTATAGGAGCTTAAAATAAAAGTTGATTACTTTAATTACTTAAATAAATTATTTTAAAAAGAATTATAATCATAAAAATATCAGAGGTTTTTTAAATTTATTATTAAAGCTACTTTTGAGATAAAAAGTATACACTTTCTTTAATTTATGAATGTATTTTTGAATTATTGGCTTTGAATAATTTTTTTTAAAAAGAAAAACTATATGATACCCGGTACTTCTGATACATATGTCAATGTATGTATACTCTTTGTAGTCTCTCTGATATAAAACTAGTGTTTTTAAATATAAATTGCAAGGAAAAATAATATTATTTTTTTAATAATAGTTTAAATAATATAAACTATCAATAATTTCTCCCTTATGATATTAAATTTTAAAATTAATGGCCAAGAATACAGGAGAAGGCTACCACAAGTACCGGGTATAGTTATATTTTCCAGTATTTAAATAATAACCATAATTATATAAGGTATTATTCGTGAATATAGATTAAAACATTGACCAAAATAGCTTCAAATCATATAATAAAATAATAACTCCTTTTCTGAGAAAATCTTGTAGGAAACTTCATCAATATCCTTACAATATCCTCCAAAATTAGCTTTGATTTATTTTTTCCTTCAATTTCAGCAAACAATATAGCCTTCTTATTCAATTATTACCTTAAAAAAATATTCTACAAAAAAGCTTAGCCGAAATATAAGTACATATCCTTGGCACTGATTTAGCAAGCCAGCAGCTAAATCCTGCCACTCCTGAGGGTCCTTGCCGCAAATCTTATTTATGTGGCACGAAGGCAGCAGCAGCAAGGCAAGCCAATGAGGCAGCAAGGCATTCCTCGACGGGCTAAACAAATTTCAATAAAATGAATTTCAAGTGCTGTTGTATTTACGAGATTCGACTTTTGGTTTCTGTTTCTCTCTCTTGTTTTTTTTTTTTATTTCCTCCTGCTTTTTATGGGAATGCCTCATGCGGCGCTTGTGCCTCTCTGGGCTTTCATTTTCATTTTTAGTGGCAATATGCAAGAGGGAACAAAACACAACAAATATTTCCGTATGGGCCATAAAAAAATGCCAAACAGCAGGCTGTAGCCTCAAAGGACCTAAGGTCCTGGGAATGAGAATCAAAAAGGCAGCTTTTGATTTGTGGCACGAGGAATTTGCTGCAGCCTGAGGTTATCTTAGGGCCGCTATCTTGCTTGGATTTTTGGCTTTAAGTGTTGGCCAGAAAAAATAGCCAAAAAATAAAGGATTTTTTTCGGCTTAAAACATAGCTCACTAAGTAGTCCTTTTTTTAGCCTTTTTTTCTCTCTCTGGTTGACCATTTTTTGTTGACCTCCTGCTGGGCAACTGGCTCCTGGCTCCTGGCTCCTGGCAGTTTTTTATGTTTGTTTGTTTTTTGTTTTCCCGCCCATTTATTTTTCCCGCCCTTGTATATTTTTCCCTTCATATTATACAATTTTTTTTTTTCTGCAATATTTCTCCAATAGTCCGTGCATTGTTTGGACCGTGGCTTTGTTTGACCAACCGGCCAGTATCCTGGCAGGATAAACAGTCAAGGATATCAAGGGGTGAGTGGCTTTTCATTAACGCATTGCTTACTCTGCTCGTGCTCGGGATATGCAACTCATCATCATGGTGGCCAGAGGGCCGAAAAAAGTCCATGGAGCGTGCAGTTTATCAATTAGCTGTCCAGAGCAGTTAATTGTCCTTCGTCCTGCCAACCATCCTGGCAACCATTCAACCATCAAGCCAATCTACCAAACCCACCAATCTAAACAAACAACCCCCCACCGCCCCAAAAGTGCGACCCACTTAACTAGCAAAAGGATGCTGAAGGATAACCGGATATACAGACAGGATACACGGTCTACACAGGCTATATACACAGGATATACAGGATATAGAAAAGTACTTACAAATTCTGTTTGCGGACTGGGAGCTATCCAGTGCTCAGGATTCGCTGGTATCGCCTCCGCCAGGCACGGATCGAAGCTGGACGGTCGTTTTTTAACAAAGTCTACGGGCAGGCTGTAATCATCACAGATGGCAATCTAGAAAGTGAAGAAAGTCGAGGGGAAAGAATTCCGTTGAAATTTAATTAATTACAGATGACAGGTTACTGGTTACTAGAGAGTGTTTAAGAGAACTTAATTAGGGCAGCTGCCTGCAGGTGTTGTAGGTTTTAGGTTTTACTTTTAGTTATTAAACTATGCCTTAGGGTTTCAAAGCCTGACTTTGATATTGAAACTTTAAGAATGATGTTATTCCTTAAATACATTATAGAACTATACTTATACTATACTATACTATAGAACTTACTTATAGAAAAATACATACATTTTACTCCTGAAAGTCTTAAAAATATGTATTTTTTTTATATTGTTTTATAACTCAGGGAATCTAAAGCAAAAGCTCTGATAATGAGATAGTATTTGGTAGTATTTATCAAAGAAGTCTTTCTTTTATTTTATATTTAAATATTACTAGATCTTTTTTAAGATTAACATTTATATTTATTTTAAAAAGGTTAGCTAATGTTTAGTTTAGCATTTATTTAATATTTTAGTATGAAATAGTTAAGGCTTTAGGGTATTGGCTTTAAGGTATTATTTTTGAGAAAAGAACGGTCACTTTACGATTTCCCGGCATCAGAGATCAGTGCTGCCAATTTGTTTCCTCTTTTGTAAGGATTTATGTTATTTATTTTTGTTGTAATAATGGTTTTCACTTAAAATATTATATATTTTAATATTGCAAATAAATGATTATAAAATCATTGTGTTATTATAAAGAGTTAAAAATGCTTTAATTTATGAAAAACGATCCTAACTTTGAAAAAAAGCTTGGCAGCACTGTACATAATCATTTTAAAAATTAGGATAAAAAGGAAATAAAAACTGCATAGCCTATAACATAATTAAAAAACTTAAAAAATCAAGTAAACTCTACATTATGAAGAAAACTAATTACCAAAAAAAAAAATAAATAAAAAACAGAACTTGAAAACCTAATTACCAATAATCTGTTATGTCTGCTCTTAATGTCTTCCTCGACCAAGAAACTCTACCAAAATAACCATAATAAGTTTTGGTCTAAGCCGGTAATTTGTTTTTTGGCTTTAATCTTTACCAATTCATTTCCATCAGTTGGCTAAGCTTTTGGCCAAAAACGAACAACAACCAAAAAACGCCCCAAAAACCCAGACCCTTTTTTTTTTTGCTTTTCTTCACTTAACGTTAATTGCAATATTCAAGACATTTTCCTTTGGCAGCAACAATGCTTTCATACATTTGCATCATCTGGACGCCTGGCTTTTTATTTTCACCTGGCTAACACACACACTACATACAGAGAGAGAAAATTTGGGGGGGGTGGAAAGCCCCTCAAACCACCAAACAAAAGAAGCTCACAAAATCCTTTAGCATCGTCGCCATTTTTAATTGTAACTGTAATTTAGCCATTGTTGTACACTTTTGATGACGCAGACTTTCAGCCAAAATGGCAAGAGTCTGCCAACTGGGCTTAAAACAGATACCTTACCAAAGGGTGGGGACGGGGTGGTGTATGGGTGGGTGTGGGTGGCACACACTTGAGGTGCACGTGTCGTGGCGTTCGTTATTGTTTTTCCTCCTTGCATGCATTTATTTTTCCTTTTTTTTCTGCTTTTATTTCTCAAGGGTTCAAGGATATTCTCTGCGCATAAAAATATATGTGTATTATTTTCTATTCCTACAAGAAATAACCAGAAATAGCCACGCAATTGACGTAGAATCTACGTCGTAGATGTTGCCTTTTTATTGACCGCCGGGCTTTCAAAAGTTTTAGACACCTGCCACGAGGTACAGTGTTTTGTACTTATTCTAAGGGCTTTCGGCTTATTTTCAACATTTTTGGTAAATTTTGTTTACTGGTTTTGATGCAGACTGTCTCTAAATTGGCCTACAAATTGTTAAAAGGATTATTTTTAAGAATCGGGCTTAAATTGGCAAAGATATAGACATCGGAAGGAGCCATATGGGAAAAACACGATTCTAGCAGGGGTATCCCCAGGAAAATTTTGAAAAAAATTGAAAACTTATTTTGTGTTAGGATTTTGATGCAGAATGACGGAGAATCAACCCACAAATGTTTTAGGTATTCCCCACAAGGATCGGATAAGAATTGGCAGAGATATAGACATCGGAAGGAGCCATGTACGAAAAACACGATTCTGGCAGGGGTATCCCCAGGAAAATTTTGAAAAAAATTTCAATTTTCGACCCACAAATGTTTTAAGGTATTCCTCTTAAGGATCGGATAAGAATTGCCAGAGATATAGACATCGGAAGGGGCCATATACGAAAAACACGATTCTGGCAGGGGTATCCCCAGGAAAATTTTGAAAAAAATTGAAAAAATATTTTGTGTCAGGATTTTGATCCAGAATGACGGGGAATCGGCCCACACATGTTTTAAGGTATTCCCCATAAGGATCGGATAGGAATTGCCAGAGATATAGACATTGGAAGGAGCCATGTACGAAAAACACGATTCTGGCAGGGGTATCCCCAGGAAAATTTTGAAAAAAATTTTAAAAATATTTTGTGTCAGGATTTTGATGCAGAATGACGGGAAATCGGCCCACAAATGTTTTAAAGTATTCCCCACAAGGATCGGATAAGAATTGGCAGAGATATAGGCATCGGAAGGAGCCATGTACGAAAAACACGATTCTGGCAGGGGTATCCCCAGGAAAATTTTGAAAAAAATTTTAAAAATATTTTGTGTCAGGATTTTGATGCAGAATGACGGGAAATCGGCCCACAAATGTTTTAAGGTATTCCCCACAAGGATCGGATAAGAATTGGCAGAGATATAGACATCGGAAGGAACCATGTACGAAAAACACGATTCTGGCAGGGGTATCCCCAGGAAAATTTTGAAAAAAATTGAAAAAATATTTTGTGTCAGGATTTTGATGCAGAATGACGGGAAATCGGCCCACAAATGTTTTAAGGTATTCCCCACAAGGATCGGATAAGAATTGGCAGAGATATAGATATCGGAAGGAGCCATGTACGAAAAACACGATTCTGGCAGGGGTATCCCCAGGAAAATTTTGAAAAAATTGAAAAAATATTTTGTGTCAGGATTTTGATGCAGAATGACGGAGAATCAACCCACAAATGTTTTAAGGTATTCCCCACAAGGATCGGATAAGATTTGGCAGAGATATAGACATCGGAAGGAGCCATGTACGAAAAACACGATTCTGGCAGGGGTATCCCCAGGAAAATTTTGAAAAAAATTGAAAAAATATTTTGTGTCAGGATTTTGATGCAGAATGACGAAGAATCAACCCACAAATGTTTTAAGGTATTCCCCACAAGGATCGGATAAGAATTGGCAGAGATATAGACATCGGAAGGAACCATGTACGAAAAACACGATTCTGGCAGGGGTATCCCCAGGAAAATTTTGAAAAAAATTGAAAAAATATTTTGTGTCAGGATTTTGATGCAGAATGACGGGAAATCGGCCCACAAATGTTTTAAGGTATTCCCCACAAGGATCGGATAAGAATTGGCAGATATATAGATATCGGAAGGAGCCATGTACGAAAAACACGATTCTGGCAGGGGTATCCCCAGGAAAATTTTGAAAAAAATTGAAAAAATATTTTGTGTCAGGATTTTGATGCAGAATGACGGAGAATCAACCCACAAATGTTTTAAGGTATTCCCCACAAGGATCGGATAAGATTTGGCAGAGATATAGACATCGGAAGGAGCCATGTACGAAAAACACGATTCTGGCAGGGGTATCCCCAGGAAAATTTTGAAAAAAATTGAAAAAATATTTTGTGTCAGGATTTTGATGCAGAATGACGGGAAATCGGCCCACAAATGTTTTAAGGTATTCCCCACAAGGATCGGATAAGAATTGGCAGAGATATAGACATCGGAAGGAACCATGTACTAAAAACACGATTCTGGCAGGGGTATCCCCAGGAAAATTTTGAAAAAAATTTAAAAAATATTTTGTGTCAGGATTTTGATGCAGAATGACGGGAAATCGGCCCACAAATGTTTTAAGGTATTCCCCACAAGGATCGGATAAGAATTGGCAGAGATATAGATATCGGAAGGAGCCATGTACGAAAAACACGATTCTGGCAGGGGTATCCCCAGGAAAATTTTGAAAAAAATTGAAAAAATATTTTGTGTCAGGATTTTGATGCAGAATGACGGAGAATCAACCCACAAATGTTTTAAGGTATTCCCCACAAGGATCGGATAAGATTTGGCAGAGATATAGACATCGGAAGGAACCATGTACGAAAAACACGATTCTGGCAGGGGTATCCCCAGGAAAATTTTGAAAAAAATTGAAAAAATATTTTGTGTCAGGATTTTGATGCAGAATGACGGGGAACCGGCCCACAAACATTTTAAGGTATTCCCCACAAGGATCGGATAAGAATTGACAAAGATATATACATCGGAAGGAGCCATATAGGAAAAACACGATTCTGGCAGGGGTATCCCCAGGAAAATTTTGAAAAAAATTGAAAAAATATTTTGTGTCAGGATTTTGATGCAGAATGACGGGGAATCGGCCCACAAATGTTTTAAGGTATTCCCCACAAGGATCGGATAAGAATTGGCAGAGATATAGGCAGTCCATATGCAGGTCCTATGATATAGTCCATATTTCCTTAAGATATACGAAAGTCTAGATACCTATGTATATATGTTCTCTTAATAACTACAAGTAGTAATGTTAAAACCCTTTTGTAAAATTGTTTCAGTGTTTCTATCGAGGGTTATGGCCTTAATCTTTAGCTGCCTGTTTGGCTAATTGAGTTGGAGCACTCAAGATAATCTTAGCCCGTCGTAAGCTTGATTTAATTGCCAAGTACAGTCATGGCCCGAAGGTCAGAGGTTGCCAGAGCGGGGCAGACGTTACACAACACCTGCCACACTCAGCCCGACAAATTCAATCAAGACGAGAAACTTGTGGCCCATAAATTCCACCCTCACCTGGTTGCATCTACTTGAGGTTGGTGGAG